GTGGCTACTAACATTTTGAAGTAAGCTTAATAACCACTTAAATATTCACACGGCGTAACAATACAGAGGACCACAAACGACATGTTTACATCTGTAAGAACCTCAAATCTCACATAAATTTTAATATTATATTTCTATCTACGTCTATGACTCCAAAGTGGCCTCATCTCTCATGGTATCCAAATTAAAATTTTGTGTGCGTTTATCACCTCTACCATGCGCACTAAATGTTCCATTCTCGTTAATTTTAAGTTTCGAAAGCGTAGTTAAATAACACACGAGTCAGACACGAGTGGTACATTTGGAGTCAATAAATACGAGCAACAGGGAGTGACGCATACGATATCGCAATGAACGCATTTGGAAAGTACGCCTTCTGAGCTTCGCTACGTACCCGCATTTGTAAGTGCGCTTGCCTGTGTCTGGCACAAGCCACGCTGTTTGTTTTCTTTAGTAACTAGGAGGTGCTATCTATAATTAATGTTTTCATATTTCGAGTAGACGTCTGGCACGCTACGCAGATGGCCGCCCTGAATGACCGCGGCGTGAGTAGATCTTTGCTCCTGCCTACGTGGTCCGACCGAGTGACGTGGAAGTATGTAGCGCCGCGCTAAAATTACACGCAAGTCGCGTGGAACCGCTCACTTACCATTCACTGCTCTTCGGCTCGTCACTTAGTTTGCCACGTGAGAGTATGTTTCAGCGCACATTTGCACAAACTTTGCGCGCAGTATTACTGCAGGGAAATCTGGGACTTAAACCCAGGACAGTCTTTCGGCTTGTAGCATTTATTCCTGTAATATCCTTGCCGAAAAAGATACTTTTAGTCTTGGCGTCCATCTTCTATCGCGTTTAGTTTCCCAGGTAAATAAAAATGCTCAGAGAAACTCGAAGCTAAGTACACTTTTCGGAGTTTTTGCCCTTTCTAAAATCTGTTCCTTGTTTCAAATCATAAGCATGCCAAGTTTGGGGCAAATTGGTAGATCCCTTCTTGAGCTGTAAGCTAACATACAGTATTATTTTCCTTATAACTTGTTAGTAAATAAGGCTATTGTACATCGTTATCCCAATTACAGTTAGAGCTGGTCGATGTTGGTAATTATACATACTCTCGAATTCTGATGATAATTACTCGGTTCAAACCTTGGCATATGCGTTTTCAGATGTCAGTCTGTAGAAGGCATGTCAAATTAAAATCTACTATGAGCCGCTTGAAAAAGACATGACTATTCCGTGGTCATCACATCTAAAATCATAACGGCCTACTCTGAAGATATATTATTCATTCCTTGGTTTTTCTACAAACATATATAAACGTTAAATTCATTTGGAGCACCTTTCCCCTACAATTAATCGAAATAAGAACACCGGTACACAAGCAGTTAATTGACACACATTTGAAACCAAAGCTGATTAAAAGTGGGACTTTCTGGCAGCACATCGAGTATAATTCGAGAACAGAGTCCGAACGCATAAAAACACCGAAGAGGGTCGAGAGTTTGGCATGCCCGGTGTATAACGTTTAATGGTCGGTAGAACGTTGCAGACCCATTTTACCCCTGAGACAGCGCCCTTATACTCTGTTGATGAGAAACAGGGAGAGTAACAGACAACAATATAAAAATTTAACAACAGCTATTCCCGGGGATCATATCCTGACCCCAGTGTCTGAATATAAAACTGTTGGCTATAAACAAGAAGGCTATCCGCTTTATATTAATGGTTGACTAGACATCGTTACAAGATTCAGTTATTTAGGCCTATACTCTGAGTTCAGAAATCTCTGTAATACTGGCATCGAAAGGATAACGCAGTTTTATATAAAAATAAACAGTTTATGTATATCTGGCAAGTGTCCACATGGACATAAGATCTAAAAAAAGTTCACGGAAGGTGAGTGAACCAGATAACAAGTGTAGGAGGGGGTACACCTCACATTTACGACATCCGCCGCGGTTTTCTGATACAAAACAACCATCAACCATCAAAACCGGGCATCTGCTATAAACAATCCCAGAATAAACGCAAACAGTAGGTCTTTATTCCGAAAAATAGACATAAGAAACATAATACATGCAAAGTTGTAAGATGGCAAATTTCTTGTTACTTCCGACATCAGAAAGAGGACAGAAAGTCAAACAGCGGACTAAATCTCCCTTGGTGTCTTAACGGGCCCACAGAATATACGAAAACAAATACACGCCCCAAAAAGATGCATATACACATTCAATGAAAGAAATAAATACATTTTAATAAACTAAACCATTACATACTTGCTAAATTATCGGATCTAGTGTAAGTGTTAAGTGTAGACCACACTAGTTTCCCTTCGTAAACACAAAACACGGAGATCGATAACAAGGTTAATATTCTTTTTGGAACAAGCTGTAGTAACAACAATACAGCTAATATTGTGTATTATATTAAATAATTCTAATTGTAATTAATTTGAGCACAATAATTGGATTAAGGCCCGTGTGTCCTGAATGAATCTTTATTTATTCTGTTGGACTCATAATAAATAAAAGAGACCTATTCCATTTCAAGGCAAAATAAATGTTCCCTGTGTGTAATTATATCGCCGTGATTGTGCACAGGCGACGCTAAAGTAAAGCTCCACATTCTAGACCAGGTTCTTTTTAACCTTTTCCAGACACAGGACTACATTCACATTCTATAGCGTCAAGAAATTACCAGCATGTCGATTAATTACATTACTTAAAAACTTCTCTTGTTCGTCACTGAATACTGTTTATCAAATCGTTACGATTCACCTGGACTCAAACTCAGGCCTCTTGGGATTACAGTGTAGGCTTTCACGAAAAAATCGAATGAAACAGGGCACACTGGAGGGGTACGTCTAACTGAAGCTACTTTTGCTATGCCTGCACGTACAATGTTTTACAGTATGCCTGCTGTCCGTGGTTCTGCTGTTGCCGTACTTTGCACGGGGTCACGCCTCAGTGCTGGTGAGCAGTATGGGGATCGCATACTCCTGCCTCGTTCTGCCCATGGTCATCTCTGCCAACTACAAGTATTCCCTAAGTGGCTTCCGACCTATGGTTATCAATATCAAAGGTAAGAAATGATGTCCTAGTCCTTCCTGAGGAACGCTGATACTCCACGGGACAGCTCAGTTAGTGTAATGACTAGGCTACGGGTTATACGGCCTGGATTCCATTCCCGACAGCGCGGAATTGCTCTCCTCGCTACAAAACCCATCCAGCGTCCTATTCAGGAAGTCCCGGGGGTCCTACCTGGGAGGGAATGTGACTGAGACGTAAAGCTAACCACTCACCTCAATCCACTGCAGACGTTAAGAATGTGCGGAGCTATACCTCCACCTCCCTATATGTCTGCATGGCGTGGTGCGAAGTTAAGCATCAGGGACCAATTTGCCTTCCCTTTTACGTCGCAAAATAAACAATTTTAACTGATATACAAATTGTAAAGTTTCCTTCTCGAATTTATTGACAATAACATATTCTGATCTTATTAAATAAAAAATCTAAAGTTGTATCGAGCGTTAACACAATAAATATTTCCGTGAACGTCTCCTACTTACTTTTAGCACGCGAGATGAATAAGGTGCGTCATTTTTGCCTCGTGTATTACAGAATCTAGACGTAAAAGCTCATTACAGAAAAGAGAAAAATTTACACTTGTATATGACACATCTGATTCATGATTCAGAATATGAACCCACATAGAATAGTCAGAAAGGACTGGTGTATATGCCATAATGCTGCCTAAGAACAACTAATGGCACATAATGGAAGATGATACGTAATTATGGACTTGTAAATTTCTTTAACGTCAACTAACTTCAAACAGAGGCGAATCTCATCTTATTCTGATAAAGGCCTGTGTCGAAAGTCTGGGAATCGAATGTGGACTCCCCAAACATACCTCTAGGGGTTGACTAGCTGCAGATCGGTAGTCCTTGTTGAAAACAGCTCTTGATGATGCAGAGAACGAACTACGGGCACAAGAACCATCTCCAGGGTTCATATACAATTCTGGTCAGGGCGACAGAACAGGGTGGAGGGAAAGGGTGTCATGAAGAAGATAAGACAGCGCTAGAAGGATAATTAAAATGACAACTTATTTGGAAGACAATGTGCTACGACAAGTCCAGCGTTTCCAGTGGCAGTTTGACAAGATCACACAAGACAGCAACGTCGTGCTCATCCTGACCTGCAATGATGCATGTGATTTTGTGCGTGTCATATGTGGTCGTCCACTACGACCTATCTTCCGTGTCCAAGGCCAAAGGATTTGGGGGACGATATTAAATTGGGTGAGGTCGTACACGCTATTCCACGGTGAAGTCAACCAGTAACACATTGTGTTGAATGAATAGTAGTTTTTGCCGCTAAAAAATTCGCCTTTGCGGTAAGCATTTATACATCCTTTCCTCCAAGGTTATCAGCGGTCTGATCTGCTCCAATTCACAACTAATCAATAATGTTTTTCACGGGCAGTAGGACTCGACCAATCGCAAGAGTTTTACGTACACAGGGCAACAAAACAGAAACATATGAACATAAGTCTATGTCCTGAATGGGATTCGAACCCACAGTCCTAATGTTCAATATGATAAAACGCCATAAGTTTCAACGTGAATTATATAAAATTCAGTTTGTTTTGAAATTAAACATGGCGAATAATGAATGGAACCACCAAATAAACTGCTCGCTAATTACACTGACACTTAACTCCGCGCACACAACCGGAGCTTTAAAGATTTCCATGTCAGAAGATGATAAATGGCAGTACAGAAAAAAAGGTTCTGAAGGTCTGGGCCATTACAGTTTGTTAATCGCGAAGTAATTTTGGCACCTTACCGCACTGCCTCCCCCTTTCCATGTCTTCACGACGAAACAATTGCTCACTTATTAGCGTAAAAAACCTACGCCTTTATCTGCATGAGATTCAAGTAAAATATTACTGGACATAGCAAATACGAAAAGTATGTAACATCCCAGCGCAACATGCGATGATAATAAAACTCATCCACTAAAATCTCCATTCTGCTTCACCAAAAATTCTGAGATTCATTACAATATACCCTCTTATACATGATTTGTCCTTGTTAAAATTATTATCACACACGTATTAAAATTAGAGTGCAGCTCTAAATGACTCGATCTACGAATAAACAACGTTCAGGTTAAACATGTTTATAATAATAATGATAATGATGATAATAATACATGTAGCAAGTGTTAAAAATATGTTTTCCGGAAATAGCTTCTGCACTATATACCTTAGGGACAAGGTCTGTCTCGGGTACATGGAAGTACATACCCTATAAAGTGGTGAATAGATGGGATAATAATATTATTAATAATAACAGACTTCTTACAATTATTGCTAATTTAAATTATGATTAGTATCAGGTAATGTGGACCGCAGCTTTGCTCGTTAACATTCCCATTAAATATGCAGCGGACTGGGAATATGTCTGTTGCAAAGAAATGGCATATTCCTCCAAGATAAACACCAATCATAATACGCGACATCCTGGAGCACAAATGTGTACTTTCTTATTACACTTCTTGTATTAATCGAATACAACATCAATTTTCGTAAAAACCTGACAGGAATTGTAAACGAGCGCCGTTTACAACGTGCTCATTATGCAGGCATCAAAATTTTCAACAGTTTACCATCAAGTCTCACAAATTCACTTCACTCCCTTCTAAAAATTCATAGTCTCTAGCTGGTATTTGCAATAATATTGCGTTACACTTGTCTTAAGCTAAATTAAACAGCAACGAAAATTGTTCTTCAAGAAACGGAACATTTGCACAGTGACTGACAATTCTTCCTGAGAAATTTATATATAATTGAGTTTATTTCAATAAAAACACATGAACCACTAGGAAACATACAAGCAGTGTCTCTGTGTTAAGTATTATGAAATATTCTCAACATTTTAGAAATAAAATTTCGAATAAATAAATTCCTCTCTGTTGGGAGAACAAATTGACGACTGAATCCCTGTATGACAACAAATTTCCACTTCATTATGTTCCAGGAACGCAACCTGGCATGATTGTACCCCCCCCCCCAAGCCTGCCACCTGTTGTGACGACAGTTGGGGGCTGGGTTTCCCCCTCCCTCTTGGCAACAGAGCCAAATCAGTTGACGTCTTAAATATTTGGGTCACCCAAATACACTGGTAAAGAAATACTGTCAACATAAATTGAAAACATCTACGTCATTGCAACTTGGGTTACTGAATTGTTCGTTGCTTGCGCAAACTCACAAAGTAGCAAACAAAGTACGCCCTCTGGCTATAAACAACATAATTTTTCTGAGTTTCTACACGGACACACATTCTTTATTAAATTTGAAATGGGGGCTCACAATCATCCTTGTTCTTAGGCTACGCCTATAACATTACTGGCTTTAAAGCACGCGCCAGGCACTTGAAAAGGCACCAGAGGGCAGCCCTACTCGACCAGCGCAACACGCAAGATAGTTTTCTGTACAACAAACACACACGCACTTTTAACTTACTTGTCTTATCCCATATATGAAGTGAAATTTATGACGTCAAATACGTGTGTATTACACATTAAAAACTTGGAACAAACCGACCAAAATCGGTACGAAAATATTTATATTGTAACCAACAAAACCGTTATGCCTTTTTAAGCACCTTCAAACCCTCAAAACAATTAAAACGGCGCCTGTTCCAATTTTTATGTGAGACCAACGCCATTTAATACAGAGTTCAATGAATCGTAATTACTTGTTTCACATTAGCGGCATTTATAAAGCATTCTTTCAACTCGTCCATTGGCCTCCCCATTATAAGAACCATACTTTCTCCGGGAACATAAATCTTCAAACATTCTTTCAAATCCAGTATCGCATATCACATTTTCAGGTTGAAATACGTATGTTAATATTCATTTACAAATCTGTCCTAAATTAATCAAGCCCACTCTTCAGATGAGAGTTACAGCAACTGTTCTTTAATCCGACAAGGCCACGTCACCATGTGTCTGCGCCATTATGTCCTTAAAATTACAGGCGATAATTACTAAATGACCATAAAATCAATTAAGTAAACCGACTGGAAATATGTCATACTGATACATGCACTTCAATGCCAAAGTAAAATCTTAGCAAAGTCATTTCGTGTCATTATCAGCGTTCACTTAATACAACAGCAAAACATCTTCGTGGGTTGTAGGCTGGAATCCTCTGCAGATAACGCTAACCTGTCACAACCTTTCAGTCACAATCACACTAAGATTATTTAAATTATTAAAAGTGATACATGCAAACAGGGCATCATAGCGTCTCATTTTTGGTTTGCAACTATATATTTTGATATCGTACATTCAGTTTCAGCCATTAATATCATCACTGCTCTTTGCTGATTTACATAAATGAAAAAAATCCATTAGACTCTACCAATTAATAACATTCTATTGTTGTGAAACGTTAAAATATTCATACTAAACCAAACATGCAAAATATATAGATATATATAATTTTTCTCAAGTTCCTAACATCATTGAGTACTAATTACTAATGCAGCTTTATATTTGTGATATGCCATACAAGAATACATGTATTTTAAATATATTCCATGCATCCTAAAATTACCCAGATGACAATAGGATGTGGAATAAGTCATAATACATGTTACAAGTATCTGTTGAGCCATCAAAATTCACTATTTTGTTGCTATAATACCAATTAACTTAAATGCCCTCTATACGCTAAATTCAGTAAGTTTAGGACAGAAGGAAACATTTGATTTTATTACGATCAACTGTGTTACGAATGACAAACAAAAAGTTAAATTATGGGTTTCATTGTCTATCCTACAATGTTCTTTATACAATTTAATACTAGGACAACAGTTTAAAATATGCCAAAACCTCTCGTTATATAATCTCCTCCGACCTACTATTCAAAATAACAATTTTTAACATAAGAAATGAACAACATTACCTGTTCTCTCAAAACACAAGTACAATAACTGTTAATAAAAAGTTTTACATCACACAGCTAAAAGTATAGGAGTGTAACATATAAACAGCATTACAAAGGTCACTTGTACAATCTTAGAGGGTTACCCTGCTCTTGCATAATTTTGGAATAACATATATATGTTCTACAATGTTTTGTCCAAAAACTGTTTACTACATCCAATTCATTTTTGTTTCATCCTCAGCTAAATAAATTCAGTTCGTAAGATCCATTTCAACATTATTCTCCCATCTACAACTATAGGTCTTCAAGGTGTGACTAAAGGTTTCTCTCATTTCAGATAAATGTGATTTCATCATAAGACCTATCACAGCATTTGCATTGCACGTATATGCTCCTCTAGACAGAACAGAGAAGCTTTTTATGAAGATGACTAATATTTTCACAATGGTGAATCAAGTAAGTATTAAATTCTGTTAATTTTAAATTTCAACTTTGACTGAAATTATAAAATTTTGTATGCATTTCCCATCTACCTCACCTGTTCTATATAATCTTCCCAACCCATCCTCCTTGATCTGATCATTGTAATAACATCCGGTGAAGAGTATAAAAGATGCTGCCTTGTAATTCCACTTTTTTATTACCATCGTCGTGTTTAATCTCCGAACCCAATAAGTGAATTTTATTACCACAGTATCCAAAACAGGTTATAAATTTTAATAAAATACTACAAAGAATGGTCCTTCTCAGTCTTATATTAAAGTCTGTTTTTGAACGTTGTTAAACTTGTTGGCAAATCCTTTTCACTCCTTTGTTTAGTTGGTGTTTTTCATGCTGTGTGACCGAGTACTGGTTCCTGGACAACGAGTGACATGCCTCTACTCCCTCATGTTCTACAACGTCATTGCGTACTGCGTAGCGTACATAAAGGAACTCATTGAAAAAGAGGATTGGTCACCCTATGTGACAATGACCGAGCATTCCAATATCAAGCACCTTGCCATGTCAGCGACGAAGATTGTGTTGGAGTGGACGAAGGCAGTTACCTTCATCATCACTGTTGTTTTCATGCTACTAGTTTTTGGGCTGGAGCAGGGCCTGGAGCACTATCATCCCACATCACTCTACACTGCAATCACATGGTTCTATTACATGGCCACCGAGAAGGTTTTCGTTGATATCTTTCCTTCCCTCCTCCTCTTCCTACAACTTAACATCCTGGAATCTCTGGAGTCGCTGTGGGCTCCGGTCATACTCCGAACATTTACCATTATCATAACCCTACTTCTTTCAATTCCTCTTATTGTATATGGACAATACCGCTTTGTCATTACAGTACTGTATCTCAATGCTTTCCTACGAACTAAAGAGATGGTACTCAATAGTTTAAAAACCCTCAATAATGAGCGTGCTGTTCTCAACCAGTACCGTTACGCTACATCAGATGAGTTAGCTGCCTTTGATGATGTGTGTGCAGTCTGCTTAAGTCCCATGCGATTGGCTCGTATTACTCCTTGTCATCACATATTCCACGGTGATTGCCTTCGTCAGTGTCTTAAAGCTTCCGATAACTGTCCCATTTGCAAACGCGAACTTAAATTTGATTAAGTCCCAACTTGTAAAACATCAGTCAGAATGAGTAATTGATGTATTAAAATCAAATGCAATGGTCCAAATAATATGTCTGGCATATCGCATGTAACATGTAAGAATGATTTATAAATATTATTATTTAAAATAAGTATACATTTCAAAAGCACTTTTCTTTTCATTTTTCGTAAACGAACTAAACAAGCTGACAACTGTCTGTGATGGTTATGTTGTAAAATTTCAACAGTATGGCAGTCACAGCAAACTCGTGCCACTTAAGTTCCAGGGTTGTAATATTCAGGTTTGTTGATAGACAACAGCAAAACTGACGGAACCAATTACCCCATTTGTACTGGCAGGTTTTAAATTTATCCTGAGAATTAAAAGAAAGGAGGGGTTATTTTTATATCTCCTATGCAGCATACAGCAAACTGATTCCTTCTAGTGTACTTGTGTTTAAAATCTATGGAGCAACAAGATTTCACACTCCAAAAAATGTGTACCTCCCATAGTGCAAGAGTTACATTCCTAGACAATTTTCTAAGCACCTCTGCCCAGCAGAAGTCAATGTGATACAGGGGGATCGGGGTAGATCTCTGTGATGAGTTTAGAATAAATTTTGTCCTTGAATATGCATTTCTTGGTCCCAGCAATCACAAAGGAAGACATGTCAAATTGAGACAAATATTAGGGCAGTGTCAACAAAGACCTCTGCGGCATTAATGTTGTTAGACTGTAAGTTCTTATTTCAATTTTTCATGTTAAATATGCTTTTGCACCATGGGAGCTATGCATGAACTTAATATTTACCCTTTCAAAAAAGGAGAGTAAACTACTCACACACTTTTTGTTTAGAAGTATCATTTCATATCTGTTATCAGACTTTGGTACAGCCGCAATTCCTTTCATATCTTGTGAAAGAAGCAAGTGCAATAAACAATTTTACTTCTGCAACTTTTTCATATGTGAGCCTCCAAAAACACAAAACATGACATTTAAACTTACATTGCTCTAGTGTACAAAAGCATAAAATGCGTGAGACTTCTGTTGTAATCTTTCCTTACAATATTATGACATAGAATGCTGTTTAATTATTGCCATGTCTTAACTTTTAATTGCATCTTATGTTACCTACAAAGCACATGTGAACATTATTTGGTTGCAGCACCCAACCTTATTGTAACTCTAAATAAAATACAGCAGGGTTGGTTACTTGTACAGAGCAATATAAATAGGTACTTTTTAATATACATTATTTGAATACTCAAGAAGTTAATTTCATATTTAGTAGTCATTATCTCAAAATGTCAGAAAAAATATGAATCTTACAATATCCTTGGCTAAAACTTTTGGCTGCAATCAATGTCTGACATAATCAATATTCATTTAAATATACCTAAAAAGCATTTCAGTCTTCATGTAAAGTGTTAATATATGTTACATTATTTTATGGTCAAGATATTAGATTCTTGAATACTGTTACAAAATTACCTAGAACTACCCATAATATAAAACAACTTACCTGTACTCTTTATCATAGTATTATTATAAATGGCTGATTAAATTAAGTTGGTTATGATGATAGTCTGGGCATAAAAACATCAAATTTCATATTGCTATAATGTTGTGTGTTTGATTTAAATTTAATCACTATCAAGTATGGTAGCAGTGGTAACTGCTGTATTAATTTAAATCAATTAGTAATTTTCCTTTAATTAAAACATGACACACTTGCATCTGCACTCATCAGTCAAGTAGTGACACGCTACACATTTATTTTGCCTGATATATAAAATAAAGTCAAAATATTTTAGATATAATTACATTATGTGTTCTCACTTCATGATGACCTCTTACAATTAATTACCAACATTAAATTAAATCAATAAGGTATCATGTATATATTTAATACCCTGCTCCATTCTGTAAATATAGTTCAATGCACAGAAAGTTAGTATAAAATTGAAGATGGCTGTCTTCTATAACCTAAAATTATTGAAATCATCTACGCCACTGTGAACAGACCAGTTGTAGCCATTATTCCAAGATTATGCAGAGCCTGGTAACCTGCTAAGATTGTGCAAGTGACTTTTGTAATGCTGTTTATATGTTACACTGCTGTACTCTTCACTGTGATGGAAACTTTATATTATACAGTATTCAAAACACAAAAGAAGAATCAATGAAATGGGCTGTATATAAACTATTGGTACTGTGCAACGTGTAATGAAGTTCTTGTGTATGTCTTTAGAGATGTCAATTGTTGCTTTTAAGTCTTTTATACTGTAAATCCATGTTATTTTATTACTAATGTATGTTTAATGCATATATATTAAATATAATTTAATTATAAAATATATACAAATATCTAAAGCACCAACTCTCTGAACACCTTGTTTGCCTTCCAGTCCGCTTTCATGTAAGAAAATTATGAGGAACTATACTATCAAAAATGATGACAAAGAAGGAATAAGAATGCTTTTAAAATTACCTGGAAAATACCCATATCCTTTTATTCCATTCATTTCTGAAAACAGAATAAAGCAACAAAAAATTCCGAATTACTTATAAGAATCTTAACAGAGTGTTATTCACATCTCATTAAAAATATCATCACAGAGTACATATAAAATAGACTTTCAATTAACTTGATGAAAAATGAACAAGTGATTAATGATGAAAATACATAGAAGAATTTTTGGGAGATTCAAATGAAGTTTGTGTGAAAAGTTTTCAGTAATGATTAAGAATCACTGTTTGTATAGAAGTAGGAAATTACAAAGGCAGAATTATTAACACAACCAATTCATTTGAAAGATTTCGAATCAACAATAGCTCTGACGATCGGCATGAAACTTGTGCTCTGGGCAATTAAGAATGCCTCTGCATATAAAACAATAAACAAAGAACTAAATTTAATTCTCTTACTGTCAAGCTGGTACCATTCATCAGCAATTCCCCAGTTGAGATAATTAAAAGACAATATACTTCTTTAAGGGTGCAACAGGTTGTTTGATGACCAAGTAATAACCTAGTAAATAAATCTAAAGGAAAATATCAAGCTTTACCAATCATCCACCAAACATGTACAATTTTGAAACTATTGCCAATATAATTTTCACTTGAAGTAAAATAAAGTTTCCATGTGCCTAATTCTTAAAAATGCCTAGGCATTCTACACATTTTATGGGAGGAATCTGTGAACTATGCTTTTTGTTCTGTGTTAAGTTATGTATCATCATTCTTAAGCAAAATTAAGTTAACAAGCCAGAACCCATTCCCAATACCGACATTGGTAGATATTAACTAATATCCCCAGTCCCTTCCAACCGCACACTATGGCCTGACAAGTGATGGTCCAAACTGGGAATTCTCAAGATAGAAAAGTGTTTCGAACTTATACTTATGTACTTCCCATCTCAATTAACTCAAAGGAATCTTATGCAATTTGTATACAATAATGAAATAACAAACAATCTTTCATGAATTTAAATAAAAATTACCATTTTTGCATAAATGCGCTGCAATTACAGACTAAAGACTCTGTCCGAAACAGTGGGTTCCTTAAATTACAAAGTATGATGACATTATTTCAAGCATAAGCATCAAGAAGTACAGAAAAAGGATACTCCAGAAATAAGACACACAAGAATGTTGTGATATGACATTTATAACCACAGAGATACAACTGACTGCACACATGCAGACATCGTAAAAT